TCTCTCTCTCTCTCCCTCTCTCTCTCTCTGCCCCTCTCTCTCTCTCTCTCTCTCTCTCTCTCTCTCTCTCTCTCTCACTTTTCTTCTGGACTGAAAGTAAGCCTTACTGTCTTATTCCCCACCAGGTATGCACCCTCACTAGAGAAGACAATCGAGAAATTGGAGGCAAGCCTGAGGACGAGCAGCTCCATGTTCTGCCCCTCTACAAAGTCTCTGATGTGGATGAGTTTGGGAGTTTAGAAGCTCAGGAGGAGAAAACACGAAATGGTGCCATTCAGGTCCTGACTTCTTTTCGGCGGAAAGTCAGGATGTTAGCAGAGCCAGTCAAGACGTGCCGACAAAGGAAACTAGAAGCCAAGAAAGCTGCAGCTGAAAAGCTTTCCTCTCTGGAGAACAGCGCAAATAAGAGTGAAAAGGAAAAGTCAGCTTCATCTCGCACAAAACAGACTGAAAATGCAAACCAGGCTAAACAGTTGGCAGGTAAATTTAATGTGACGCATTGAAGATACATGTGTTATATGATACTTATGTTAAAAATGAGCATTGTTAATTCTGGAAGGTTACAGTTAATCATGGTCCTAGTTCTGTACCACAATCTTCTCTAAAGTAGCCAGGGCCCAGCTTTGCTCTTCACAATGGTACTGAGATATTGCACCATCAACCCCAGATTGTTGGGAAACTTGGGATTTTATTCTGTAACAAATAACAAAGTTTTATGATAGGGCAATGATATGGCAAAATTAGTGTTACTCTAGCAATGGCAGGTACGCCATATCAGAGGATCTAATAGTTTGGAGACAGATTCAATAAACCAAGAGGGAGGTAATAAGAGCTTAAATTGTGGTGGTAACAATGAAAAATGTAGCAAAAATGATGAAGTGAATTATTCCAAAATGAATATTAATACAATGGTGACAAAACTCTGGAATGAAGGTGAAGAAGAATTTAAGGATGACTCCAAAGTTTTAAGCCTAGATCAGATAAACAGTACTATTTATTGAAATACGTTTGGAAACAGGGTTAATGGGAGGAAAGGGCAGGAGACTAAGACACCTATCCTTAGCTAGACTGAGTCTGAGGTTTAGGATGTGGATCACACGTAGTACTTATAAAGCTTTTACCCATTGAAATAAATCACACCTATAGTAGTGGCAAAAGAGCATTATTTATCAATACTAAGTTGACATTTTCGTGCCAAAGCCCCTTGCTTTATGTCTGCAGTTAACACTGTGAAAAGTCATACAGCAATGTAATGTCCATATCCCAATTTTAGAGAATGTATTGGCCTGGCCATTAACAAAAGAAAAATGTATATCTTTTTTTATCATGCTAAGGGAAATAAGTCAGACAGAAAAAGTTGAGCACCATATGACTTCATTCCTATGAAAACTGGAAGTAACAGCTATATACGATGTCAGAAGCATAGTAGATTAGAGGGAGGGAGGTTATCACTTTGTGAGGGGTGTAACTGTCATAACTATTACATTGTTTTGTATACGTAAAACTAATAAAAAAATTAAAAAACTGAAAGCAACAAACAAAAAATCAGACACAGATAACAGTTTAGTGGTTACCAGAGGGAGAAGGGGAGATGGTAGAAGAGGGTAAATGGGGTCAAATATATGGTGATGGAAGGAGAACTGACTCTGGGTGGTGAACACACAATGCAATATATAGATGATATATAAATGTAAACTTGAAACCTATATAATTTTACTAACCAATGTCACCCCAATACATTTAATAAAGGTTAAAAAAAAGTATATCTTTTAAATTTAGTGTACCAATTTACTTAGGACCAACTATCTTTGGTTCATCGAGTCAAATTTTTCTGCTGATTCATTTCAAAGTTCAAAGAAACTAAGTACCGTATTTGTCGGCGTATAAGACGACTCGGCGTATAAGACGACCCCCTAACATTTCCACTCAAAATACAGTTTGTTATATGGTCAGCTGTGTGCGATTTTGCGAGTGTGGTAAAATCGCATAACAGCAAAATCGCATAACAGCCGAGCATACACCCAGCAGCGCTGCTGATGCCTGAACGGTATGTGGAATGAAGTGGGCGGGCATCGGGAGGCCACTATGGCATGGGGCAAGCACTATGGGCAGTCTATCTGAAGTGTACCTGGCGTATAAGACGACCCCCCACTTGGAGGCATATTTTTCAGCGCCAAAAAATCGTCTTATACGCCGGCAAATACGGTAATTCAGAATAATATACTAACGGTGCTTAATAAATATTTATTGATTGGTTTACTCACACTAAGAGAAGTTAATCCTATTCAGTAGCTGATATATGCTTTATGTTAGCTATAAAGCATAGTCCTGTAGAACTTGGCCTCTGTCCCTCCTAACTGGTTTCTGCAGTGATCGTTTCCAATTGTCAGGACTGCCATTGCAGCTCCACTTGTTCTTATCTCAGATCACTTTTTTAAGTGAGGTCATGAAACAAAAGTATGACTTTTAAAAGTTTCACTTGCAAAACTGAAAGTTTCATCAAACTTTTAATGAAACTACAACTGTGTAAATTCCTTGAAAGCGTGCTAATGAAATAGGATTCTCAGATAACATGCTTTGAGTGTTTAAATGAATATCATTTATTTCCTCATAGCGTTGTTGACACTTCCATAACAAATTTTATACTACTTTAATTATCTAACCCATTGTACTGCATGGCAAGCAATAGAGAAATAAAGTAAAATAAGGCATGGTCCCTTCCCACAAGGAGCTACTTTGCAGGAGGGTAGAGAGGAGACTAAAAATGGATAATTACAATATATTATGAGTGCTGCTTTATCTGCCTTATGTTTTCAGTGGTACTGCAAAAGCACTAGAAGCTGAGGTCATAGAAGGCTTCCTGAAGGGGGGGATGACTATGCCAAGGAAGGGCAAGGTGATGAGTGGAGGAAGAAGGGCACTTACTGGGGAGAGTGTGACGTGGTCAGAAGCACAGACGATCCGGAAAACACTGTGCTCTCAGTGGAATGGCCTTTGGATATTTAGTGCATCTTTCTTCAATTACCAGGCTGTTATGAGGTCTGCCAGTTTATTTCTAATGCTTTAGACACAAGAATATTATGCCAGACAGTGACCAGAACCCTGAGTTTGCTCTTGTCCTTGTTTGATGTTTGCATAATGCCGATGGTGGTTCTTACGTATATTTAAGCATCCTCGCTGGCTTCCATAAAATAACAGTCAAGCATACTTGTCACTGCTCTTTCTTATCCTGTCCGCAGAACTTCTGCGACATTCAGGACCAGTCATGCAGCAGTCCCAGCAGCCCCAGCCCCCATCACAACCCCAGCAACTACAGAAGCAACCTCCACAGCCACAGCCGCAGCCACCACAGCCACAGCGACCCCAGCAGCCACCACCATATCATCCCCTGACTAGTAACCCTCCGTCAGAGGCTGTCAACTCTTACTCTCCTTCTGGGCCCACCCATCTGTATACAAGACGACCCAACCCAGTGAGTCCTTATCCGAGCTCTTCACACGCTTCAGACATCTACGGAGGCACCAACCCTGTGAACTTCTATTCCACCTCATCCCAAGCTGCAGGTTCATATTTGAATTCTTCCAATGCCATGAACCCCTACCCCAGGCTTTTAAATCAGAATAACCAATATCCATCATATCAGTGCAATGGAAACATATCAGTGGACAACTGCTCCCCGTATCTAGGTTCCTATTCTCCCCAGTCTCAGCCCATGGATCTGTATAGGTATCCAAACCCAGACCCCCTCTCTAAGCTCAATCTACCATCCATCCATACACTTTACCAGCCAAGGTTTGGAAATAGCCAGAGTTTTACTTCTAAGTACTTAGGTTATGGAAACCAAAATATGCAGGGAGATACCTTTAGCAGTTGTACTATTAGGCCAAATGTACACCACGTAGGGACATTTCCTCCTTATTCCACTCATGAGATGGATGGTCACTTCATGGGAGCTGCCTCTAGGTTACCACCCAATTTGAGCAATCCAAGCATAGACTACAAAAATGGTGAACATCACCCATCTTCTCATATAATCCATAACTACACTGCAGCTTCGGGCATGTTCAACAGCCCCCTCCATGCCCTGCATCTCCAAAACAAGGAGAATGACATGCTTTCCCACACAGCTAACGGGCTGTCGAAGATGCTTCCAGGCCTTAACCACGATAGAACTGCTTCTGTCCAAGAAGGCTTACACAAATTGCATGACGCTAGCGGTCAGGAGAAGCAGCCTGCCGCCGCTGAGGACAATGACGAGGTCTGGTCAGACAGCGAGCAGAGCTTTCTGGATCCTGACATTGGGGGCGTGGCCGTGGCTCCGGCTCATGGGTCAATTCTCATTGAGTGTGCAAAGCGTGAGCTTCATGCCACGACCCCTTTAAAGAACCCCAACAGGAACCACCCCACCAGGATCTCGCTCGTCTTTTACCAGCACAAGAGCATGAATGAGCCAAAACATGGCTTGGCGCTCTGGGAAGCCAAAATGGCTGAAAAAGCCCGCGAGAAAGAAGAAGAGTGTGAGAAGTACGGCCCGGACTATGTGCCTCAGAAAACGCATGGCAAAAAGGTGAAACGGGAACCCGCCGAGCCCCAGGAGCCTTCCGAGCCCACTTACCTGCGCTTCATCAAGTCCCTTGCTGAAAGGACCATGTCCGTGACCACGGACTCCACAGTAACTACATCTCCATACGCCTTCACTCGGGTCACAGGGCCTTACAACAGATACATATGACATCGCCCCGTGTTGGTTACCTCATTCGAAAAGACCACAACCAACCTGTCCATAGTGTAGTGCTCGTGACATGGGCAGTGGGGCAAGGACACAGTCAGTATTCACGACAAATGTGGTAGGAGGGACCTCAGCTCACCAGCAACAAAAGAGGTCCCCTCACCACAGCACTTAATTTCCACTGACTCCTAAGTGGCCACAGATGGCATCTAGGCAGAAGACCAAAGCGTTCTATGCAAAAGGAAGGCGGGGGAGAAAGGGTTCCACAATTTACATTTTTAAACACTGGTTCTATTATTGGACGAGATGATATGTAAATGTGACGTTTTCTTCCCCTTGCAACTCTACACATCTGCGACCACTTTTAATAATACCAAGTTTGCATAGTCATGGAACACAAATCAACCAAGTACTGTAATATTACAGTGGCAGGACTCTGAAAATACCATCTGGTGCTGAAATACTGGAATCATGGCTTTTTAACATGCAGTTTTTACTGTAATCTTACTGTTAACTTGTATTTATCAAAATAGCTATAGGAAGCAAAAATGAATAGACAGCAAAACACTGAATTTGTCTGGATGTTCTAAGAAATGGTGCTAAGAAAATGGTGTCTTTAACAGTTGAACATTTAATGCCTTTCTACCATCAAGATGCTATCTGTGTACCCCAATTGCCGTTGAGTAACAGGGGTACCTTTTCATTCAAGTTTTTATCTTAATTACCTATTCTTACACAAGCTTAGTTTTTAAAATGTGGACATTTTAAAGGCCTCTGGATTTTGCTCATCCAGTGAAGTCCTTGTGAGACAAAAAAAAAAATACATGTACATACATACATACACACATATGTATATGTGCACATACATGTATATGTATAAATATGTTAAATGGTGTCTTAGAAGCACTTTGCCTACCTAAGCTTTGACAACTTGAACAATGCTAAGGTACTAAGATGTTTAAAAACAAAGTTTACTTTCATTTTAGAATGCAAAGCTGATTTTTTTAAGGAAAGGAAAGCTTTTAAAATATTTTTGCTTTTAGCCATGCATCTGCTGATGAGCAGCGTGTCCATTTTTAATACAGCCAGTTAAATCCAAAAGGGGGCTTGCTGGATTCAAGGGAATACATTAGCACACAACACACATGTTTTCTGGTGCTCATCTCACATGCTATACTGTAAACGTTTTATATAAAATTGTATGACAAGTTTCATTGCTCAAATATGTAGAGTTTTAAGAATTTTCTATCAACTGCAGGTAATAATTAACTGCATGCTACAGACTCAACCAAGCTGTTCACTTACGCGAAGCGATTTTATTGATCTGTGTGCTCCTTCAGTGAGCTGAATGGCGTCTGCCTTTGTGTTGATAATTGTACATTGTGATGTTGTCATTTCTTAGCTTAAGTGTCCTCTTTACCAGGAAGATTGAGCAGACTGATGCCTGCATAAGATAAATAAACAGGGTTAGTTCCATGTGAATCTGTTAATTAAAAAGAAAAAAAAAACAGGCAGCTGGTTTGCTGTGGTGGTTTTAAATCATTGATTTGTATAAAGAAGACGTGAAAGAGATGTATAGAAAGTAAATTAAATTGTAAACAAAACTTTTTTAACGCAATGCTTTAGTATTTTAGTACTGTAAAAAATGAAATATATACATACATATATGTGTGTGTGTGTATATATATATATATATATATATATATATATATATATATATGGATTTGAAGCAGAATTCACATCATGATGGTGCTACTCAGCCTGCTACAAATATATCATAATGTGATCTAAGAATTCATTAAAGGTTTGAGTGATGTTCCTACTTGTCATATACCTCAACACTAGTTTGGCAATAGGATATTGAACTGAGAGTGAAAGCTTCTAGCATTGTGTACCATCATTTTTTTCCAAGTCTTTTTTATTATTAAAAAAGCATACCTTTTTTCAATACTTGATTTCTTAGCAAGTATAACTTGAACGGCAACCTTTTTTGTTCTAAAAAATCAGGGATATTTCAGCTCATGTTCTTCTTATGCCAACATGTCACCTGTGTTTATGTAAAATTGTGTAGGTTAATAAATATATTCTTTTTCAGGGATTTAACCCTTTTATTTTGAATCCCTCCTATTTTGCTTGTATATGTCCTGATGTAACTAAAACTAATTTTGTAAATCGGTTGGCTCTTTTTATTATAAAGAAAAGCATTTTAAAAGTTTGGGGACTATTTTGACTGTTTCAAGCAGGAAAAAAATTACATGAAAATAGAATGCACTGAGTTGACAAAGGGAAAATTGTAAGGCAGGAGTTTGGCAAGTGGCTGTTGGCTAGAGTCTTTCCACTCTCTAAATAAAGATGTTTTGATCCTGTCATCAGTATAGGTACAGACCCATGAGGGCTTCTCCAAACAGGCAGAACACTTAGGGATATTGTGTGCAATTGACTCTACAGTTACATTTAGGTCTAAGTGCAATTTTGCTTACTAACATTTCGAATACATTCTTAATCAAAGGAGACCTTTGAGTTTTATTGGTCAAATCTTTATGATGTGGCTTTTGTCTTTTAAAATTTTTTCTCTACTTTTGGCTGTGACCAGTTCACAAACATTTCAAAAGCGTTTGCTTTGCATCTGTCAAACCACATGATTTTAATATTTTGCATATGCCACATATCCAACCCAAATATTTGGTTACTACATGCTCACTTACTGATTTTGAGTCAGCCATCTCTCTATGAATATTTGGTGTCTGTATCACCCACTGTCACTTGTCAAACTGCTGGCCAACAAGGGCAGAAAGTCTAGTTTGGGGGTTTGGGGAGAGGTTAGGTAGGAAGGAGAAGAGGAAATTGAGCAGCATATTGTAAATATCAGATCTATAATTGTAAATATCAAACCTGCCTCAGTGAGAATGAATGGAAAGCAGATCTCCAGTTTGCTTCTATAGGAATATCAGGTTGACTATATAGCCATACTTGAAAATGCTTCTGAGTGGTGTCAACTTTACTTGAATGAATTTTCCATCTTGATTGACGCACAGTGGTGTACAGGTCACTTCTAAAGCTAGTGGTCAACTTGTGTAGGAAACTTTTGCAGTTTGACACTAAGATAATGAACTCTGTGTGCATTTTTCCACGCTTTTTAAAAAACTTAGTTTCATTTCATTTTCATGAGATGTTTGGTTTGTCTATAAAATCTGAGAAGGGTTGTTATAAATACTGTAAGTATTGTAATGTTATGAATGCAGGTTATTTGAAAGCGTTTATTATTATATCATTCCTGATAACGCTATGTGAGTGTTTTTAATAAAATTTATATTTATTTAATGCACTCTTAAGCATTGTCTTGTTGAAGTTTCTGTTTACTGCCGAAATTACTACCACCTCAATAAGGCAAAAGGGAATGAAAATAATTTGTTTTTTAATGATACTTTTTAGATAGTAGTTCTTAATGTTAAACTATATTTAAAGTAATATCCAGAAAACTAAGACCAAAATATTTCTTTGGTTGAAGAGTCTAGATATTCAACGTTTTTTAGTTTTTATTTTTTTCCCAGCTTACATTTTAGCCTATTCACTTTGTATGGGTAGCCAGGGTAAGTCAGGAGGAGAGTAATAGCACTTGGCTGACCTTAGACTGACAGTCCCTTCTGTGTCATCTGTGAGAGCTATCAGTGACAGCAGGCACCCTGGGGTTGAGTTCATATTGCTGTGGTCTAAGGGCAGACCTGTTCTCCCAGTCTCATCTTCCTCTTCATGGCCGGTCTTGTGAAGGAAGACTCCTCTTCCTGCCCATCGGAAAGGTAGACAGTGTTAGGTCAGAGGAGAAGGGAGAGATGGCCTGGGAGGCCCCAGACCGAGGTGCATGTCCTCATCCATCCCACATGGCTTTAGGGAGCAAGGGGCTAGATTGTCCTCATCTCCATCATGTTAATCAGCCCTCACCCAAGCACCAGTGCCCCCGCTGCTGAAATACTTCCTAGAAACACAAGATACTAAACACAATTACTAGTTATAGTTTTGTGAGTTTTCCAGTCCCCACACCTCCACCACCCCTTCCCAAATTGGCAGAGAAATAATTTTCATTATACATGAAGAGAATTCACTTTCCCATATTTCCCTCTCTGTTCAGCCTGGGCCAGATTTGATATAAATAGTAATATCTGAGCCCAGGAAAGGACTACCATTTAGTAACCTTTGAACTCATTGACTGGGTGATTCCTCTAGTACTCTCCTCAAAGCCAGGATATTAAAAGCAGCAGCAACATCACTGTTAAAAAGCAGTGATCCAGTGATTTTAAAAAATTTTTTTAATCTCAACCTTCTAGGGACATTGTCAACCCTCATTTTACCATCCATCCTCTGGCAGAACCTTGGCACCCTCCCACTCTTCTCAGTTGCTAACCTCCTCTGCCCAGGGCAAGGGGAATGTAAGAGTCCATGAACTCAAGAGCTTTTCCTGCCAGTCCCATTTTGATCCCCATTAGCTGAGGCAGGTGATGCTAGTGTGCTGTAATGGAGGTGCAGCAAGACTGCTGCTATGAGCCTGCAGGTGGACTTGGACGGGGGAACAGCTGGAAATGACAGATGAGCCAGCATTCACAAAGCTTTATAGGCCGCTTGCCTCCCCTGGAAATAATTGCCAAGAATGAACCTTTTCATGAAGGCAGGCATGCACACAGCTGCCCTGTCACATACACAGCGCACCACTGTTCCTTTCCTCAGTCTCTCCAGTTGGTTTATCGTAAAAACCCTCCAGCTTTGGGTAATTCGAGCTTAGCTTTGACTCCTGCCTAGTTCTACTGCCCATACTCGATCAGCTGTGTCAGAACCAGACTCAGTGTGAAAAGACCTTATTCATGAAGGCGCCCATTCCTCAAGCTGCTGAGAATTTTTAATTGGTTTTGTTGGTTTAAAAGGCCATCTGGAGGTGAGTATCCAGCAAGAAAAAGGAAATCTTGGGAAGCATCAGTTTCTCCCCTAAAATCAATGTGAGGAGAGAGTGCTTGCTCCGTAACTTCAGTTACTGGGCTTACCAGTAAGCGGTTGGGACACTTTCTCCCTGCCCCTCCCTCCACTGAGAAACACACTGTCTAGTTGTTAGAGTGGTGAGAAGACATTCACAAAAGATGCTTAGAAGAGAATTAACTGCAATTATAGACTAGTTCAGTTTTACCAGCACTCTTCCATTTCAAAGAACAAAGGTACTTTTGTTCCCATATATTCGATGCCACCTGCCTAGGTTTCCCTCTCTTACCAGGCATTTTTCTCACAAATCTCTTTGCTTGTCTAGCCCAACATTCACTCTTGAAAGGAGCCACTCTTTTCCTTGTATATACACTTAATGAATATGTTTCCTTTGGGGGCTTCCTTTCATGCTGTTTCAAAAGAAATTTACTCAGTTTGATATTTTACTCTATAATCAATTCTTAATTCAGACTGAAATGAGATTTCTACTTAGGTGTTGAGTAAAATAGTAGTTATATAAAGACACTCCACTTCTTTCCTACTCCCACAAGAATGAATTCAGGTTATTTAAATTCACAGAATTAAGGATTTATAAGCATATTCACTGAGCACTTGCTTTTATTCCTTGCACAGAATAGCCACATGAATAGAAATGTGGGTATTGTTGCTTGAAACTTGAGGTGTCCTCACTCTTCTTTCATGGGCAGCTTTTGGTTTAGCTCTAAGGTACTAATAATGATAACAAGAAATAATAAAAGGGTCAATTTATTGAGAAGATGAAACAATCATAAATATATATCCACCTTTCATCGGAACATCTAAATATATTAAGCAAATACTGAAGGGAGTAATAGACAAT